AAATACGTGGTGCAGGCACGAAATATACTACCAATAGAAATACATTGCTTTTAAAATAGTTCCGTGTGACACGAAAAAAAAAATGCAAAAATTGTGTTGGTGAACACGAATCAATAGATTAAATACATTTTGTGACTATAACACGAAATGGCGTGAGACTGGGTTGTAAACACAGACCATATTACTTCAAAAACACACTGCGCATTGTTTCTGATACAGCAACGTTTCTGATAGGGGACGATAGCTTGGACCACGGAACGTTGACAGGAGTTCAACGTAAAGCCAGCCCACATTTTAGTAATGTCGTCATGACTGCAGCATATCTGGATCAGCCAATGGGAGGCATGGTGCACGGTAGGTCCCATGCAGGGCTGGGGTCAGCAGGTATCTGGACATAATGCACTTGTGTTTTCCCATGCTCCTTGGGGACCCGGGAAACATGGTGCGCAGTAAGCCCCATACAGGGCTGAGGGGGGACCCTCGTCACTGTTTTCCAGGCACACTATTCACGAGGTAAGCGTGTCTGAGTGAGCCCTGCCAGCCAGGTAAACTGCGGCCCCCACTTCTCCACAGTCACAACCGGAAGGAGGTTGCGGTGCAGTGGCTGTTAACCAAAAGCCGGTCAGGGGCTGTGTGGTGACTCAATGTTGTTGGACGACAGGGCGTTAGGCATCAGGGCTCCACCCACTGTACCCATAGAGCCCAGTAGAGGGCGGAGCCTGTGTGAAGAAAAGTGTAGAATGACGGGAATGGGAGGCGTGGCCGCCTTATATACGGTGGGCTTGCGCACGCATTCAGGGGGCCGGCTACGGTTATACATATCTCAGTAAGGGAATGCTCGCATAGTATGGTTGAGAGGTAGTACCCATAGAGTCCAGTAGAGGGCTCCGCCTGTGCTTATATAACTAGGGTTACAATACGTAACCCACCGTGGGCCATACTCCATTATACTTTTTGAATTTGCTGAGGTTCAAAGTGGATAAAGGGCCGCAGTTGGCCACCGGGCCGTAGTTTGGACACCCCTGCTGTAGATCATGTTAATTGACCTGTCAAGACATTACTTGTCAAATGCCAAAACGTATCCCCTCATCGAAAATTGAAACATTAACAGGACCATAATAAGCATTGACCATAAAACTGACTCTGTCTTTGCATTTTCCCGCCTTTTGTAATTGTTTGCCCCGCCCTGATTTGATCCATCTGTCTCCAATCACCCTGTTGTGTTTTTGCCTGCCCTTTCCAGCCGTCCAAATTAGTTATCTATATCCCTGTTTTCCCCATTGTTTTCTTTCAGTTTTTCTATGTTACCTGGTGTGGTCGGTCCTTCTGTGTTGGTTCCTGGTTTATTCCTTGTGTTCCCAGTTTTTCAGAGAGGGGAATTTTTTTTACTTTCATTTTCCAATTACATTTTTGAGATCTTGTGCAGAAAAACGTAGGCTAACATAGAATGCATCGGCTAAAGAAAAGCAACAGTATGCTATAGAAATGGACGATAGAGTGATGGCAGTTTCAGGAGCATTGCTGTTAGTCTGTGAAAACAACAAGTAATTTGATGTGTGTGGTCATGGCCGAGTGCTTCCTGTGTGTTTCACCCTAGATTGCTTTTGATTTTATTATCTAATTCCTTGTCTTTATTTGTTTCCATTAAAAAACAAGACCTGATATTATGTGCGCAAAGCTTGGACTTTAGAGGCCTCATGACTTTCATGTTAGTTGTGCTCAGACCACACTGTGCTGTCTCTTCATGTGAAGTGATGCCACTCTCTCCTCCCTACCCTTTGGCACCATTTCACTCTCCATATGAGTTATTTTGCATCAATGCTTTGGACAAGGTTCAACACTGGCTGAACAACCTTTGGTTACAGTTCAATGTAAAAAAAACAGTATGCATGATTGTTCAGTAAACGACCAGTCAAAATCGAAGGATCTAATGTGTTTTTAAACGGATCAGAAATGTAATTAGTCTCCCAGTTCAAGTATCTTGGAGTCATACTGGACTCGAACTTGACTTTCAAGAAACATATTAAGAAAGTATCCAATACTATTAAATTCAACTTGCAAAATGTTAAAAAAATTAGACCTTTCTTAACTGTCAATGCTGCAAAGTCATACCTCCACTGTATGATTCTATCCCACATTGAATACTGTTTTACAAACTGGTCATTTGCTCGTGCCACAAACCTTAACCTGTTAAACCCTGAGCCTGTTTTTCAGGTTTCAGGCTCGAAAATGACATTCCCAGAACAAATGACCATATCTTCCCTTCTAAAAGGGTTACATTAATAATCTTTTTTCTCAAAGTAATGATAAACCTGTGAGTTGGATGTAGAAAAGTCAGATTTAATATAGATGTTTTTTATTTTAAAGAAAATTCAGATTGAACATGGTAAAAAACTGTAAATTATAGTGTCCGTCCAAAGAATATTTTGTACTTATAGTGAAAACTAACCTTGGATGATGGGTTAGTAGACTAAAAGCTTTAGGAATCCAAAGTACAACATATAATAAGTACCCTGTATCAAGATTGATGCAAAACAAGTGATATTTGACCTTTTTAGACAGATTTAGCAAAAAAAACCCCTCTTCTGGGGCCATTTGGGTGGATTTTCCATATCTCTGGCCCCCCTTGCTGGATTTTGACATGTGACATCTCTTTCTGACCGTCAGAGCCAATGGAATCGAGGGGAACTCCCACATAGTCCTTATTTGGTCATGTGTGTGTGTGAGACTGCCGCATAGCCTAGACCGGAAGCAGCAGCCACTCATTAGCAGCTAACTTTTGCTCTCCGATTTTTACATAAAAATTGAATTATGGATTGTAAATTAAATCATTTTTGTATACAGAGACGTTAAAAACCTATGGATTAACCGATTCAGCCGCGTTTTTTCTCGTTGTAATGCCATTGAACACGTCTTTTGATCAGATCGACAGCTACGGTGAGACGATCTCCCTAGAAGCTCCGTAAAGGTAGTGTTGTGATGTCTGTGTTTGCTTCCCCTGTCGCGAGTTCGGATCACTCAGTGATGATACTATATACCTAAATAATCTGTGGAACCTCAGCTTTAATCGGATATCTTGTATGTGTAGCTACGATAAGTAATAAGGGTACTTTTATCTTGAGTTCTGTGCCAATGTCCGTTAGCATTTTTCACTAAGGGGTCATTTAGATGCTTCTTATGTGTTTTGTTTTGGTAAAAATGGTTTGTATCGTCAATTAGCTGAGATTATTTCCGTTAATCTGGTATAACACATTAATAGGTTCTTAAATATTAAGATCCCCTGCGACACAGTGTCGTGAAAAAAAAACCCAGGGTCCCCGCCGACGGGGACCTTGGGGTTTAACAGGTTCCCAATAGAACAGCTGTACAAGAGGGCTATCAAGGTGCTTGACAGAAAGCCATATTCATACCACCACTGTACTATCCTTGAAAAACATAATTTCTTGAGTTTTGACAATTTGAAAGGGCCCATGTCATGGCCATTTCTACTGATCATAATGCCATTGTTGAGATATACTAAAATAGATTTATACTGTGCAATTTTTCAAACTCACATTGGTTTCTCATACAGCATCTCTGTAAACAACCCTGTCTCCTAAAAATTACGTTCCCACAGAACTAAACTGCATTCTCAATTACGTTTAGCTAGAAACGTATTTTCTCCCACGTTACGTTTGTTATGAACGTATCTTAAATACGTTTATTTTCTTCATATCTTTGCCATTTATTGTCTTGCTTATAATAATGATAATAGTCATTTGTAAATATAATTTTAGAGCACACATTTGAAATCGAGAATCGGGCTCGATATATGGTTAAATTAAAATCAGTAGGCGAGGCTGTAATTTCGCCAGCTGTTACTCTCATGAGCGAGGCGGAAAATAATAGTTTTAACATGCCAAAAAGCTGCTGTGTCGTTTATTGCACCTCAAACATTAAAACAAATCCAGAGTTACGTGTTTCTGTACTTCCTCTAAGAAGAAAGGACAGTAACAGAAGATCTCTGTGGCTTCAAGCTTGATCGCCGTTCAAATGACAGCGTTGGTTTCCCCAAAAGTGAGCGGGGCCGTAAAGTGACCTAGATTTTCTATTATTCAAAACCATTATTTTTATTCTAACGTAAATTACATGCCAGTGTTTTATCTTTTTATTTTAAATCGTATAATGTCGGACTTTTTTTCCCGTCTGTGAGGAAAATAAATGGGGCTTAGAGCCTCAAAATACTGAAATCTGTATTTTTAAAAATCTTTTTTTCCTTCTAATTTGTTATTATTTTCTAAATAACACACTGTTATTTACTCAACAATAACACACAATTATCCTTGTTTTTATTTATTTGTTTAATTATATAATCTTGGGCTTTTTAGCATGCTTTTTAGCCGTAAATAAAGTCACCGGAAACAGACGTAGGCCTATATGGGACATTTCGAGCGATACACACCACAAACTCACTGAACTGATTACCCAAGATCCTCAGGTTGAAGCTCGTTGATTGGATGTTTTAGCCGCAATGCACTTTGGGATATGGTATTAATGCGATATGATATCCGAATAAAAAAAAAAAAAATAATAATACTTTGCGGCCAAAACAATGATGGTGTTTGTCAGAAGAGATTGATCTACATGTTTTAAGGCAGAATTAGTCTTGTTCTGGCATTTTTCCTCCATTTCCTAAAAAAAAGTCTAAATACAACAGCTTGCTAAGTTTTCCATAAACAAGTAAGCAGCTTTCACCACTTCCTTTTGCTTTGACCCGACAATTTTCAACTCAGTTGTTGTCAGACCACACTGTGCTGTCTCTTCCTGCCAACATACGTCACTCAATCCTCCCTCCGCAGAACATTTCACTTTCCATTTACGTTGGTCTGACAGTTCTACGCCTCTTCCTCCATCACACATTAACACGCTCTTTGTGGTCTTACATGAAAAAAACAAGAAACCTAAGTGTGAAAATAGGGAAAATATATTCAACATTTATTTTTTGCCAGTGAATTCTCCCACACATGAAGCTACATGAGAAGTTTTTCATGACAAAGCATTTTTTTCACTCTGAGCTGCATTTCCACCCGTTTCCTTCTTCTATCTGGTGGCAGCATACACTACATTTGGCTCAAGCTCTCGCTCAGAAGCAGGCCTGCGGCTCCTTTTTGGCTTCGCCTGGAAACTCAGAGCCGCGTAGTTCAGTTCATCCGAGCACATATTCTGTAAAATAAAGTATCCAGAGTCACTTGCTGTTTGCAGAAATCCATAAAATGTGTTGTTTTGCTCGCTGTCCCACAAATAAATAATCCAAACAAAAATGTGTGTTAATCATAATTTATTTAACACCAATTATGACTTTTAAAAGAATCTGAGTTTAATTTGACTGAATTTAATATAAAATCATTTCTTAATTTTTATATTGAAACCGAGGTACATCGAGGCCACATCGAAGGAAAAAAGCTAATTTAATTAACAGGACATACATTGTTCGACCTTACAATGACAGTGATAATATATTTTTGATAATAAAAAGAACAATTATGTTACTGTTGTAAATGTACGCAGTGGAACGGCAAAGTGACAACATTTCATACACATCTCTGTCTTGACAAAAATTATTGTGGTTAAGTTTATTAAGGTTTTACATGTTTCACAGAGAAAATAAATAGATCACTGTTGGCAAAATTACACATTTTGCTAAAGAAAATGCAGTTACCTTCAAGGTCCTGAGCCTGAATTAGAATACATTTTCTGTTTAGGAAAACTATTATGACTGCCTGTATGCCTGCTTGAATAAGTTTGATGCTGGCTGCAGCATGGGATAACATGACCAAACAAATAGCAGATTATTAAAGTTGTTAAAATGCATTTTAAAACCATAACACACAGTAAGTATACATTAATATTGGGTTTACCTGGGGTCTTTTGGGCTGAGATTCTTCATTTGCATCTAAATAAAAAAAAGAAACAAGTGTGTTAAGTCAGTGTGTTCATTGAAACTAATTATATACTTTTTACATAATGTGCTGTGCAACAAAATTAAATCCACTGTACCTTTCTGAAGCTTCCTTATTTTAACAGCCAGAACAATGACGACTATAGTGAGCAAAAAAGCCAAGCATCCCAGAATTAAACTCATCAGGTATGTCATTTCATCAGGCTCCTCTACAAGAAAAGAATATAATTAAACTCTGTAATTTAATCCTGTTGCTTACGATATGGTTACAATAAATTGTAATTACTGTTTGGAAATTGCAAATAAAAGAGGAGAACCTTACTTTTGGTCTCGAAATCATATTCATTATAATCAGATTCACCGTTACCTTTTAAGAAAAAATGAGCATTAATCTTTTTGTACACTTATTTGTCTTAGTGCTGTTTTCCAATACATTTGAGATATAATGTAAATACTTTAAGAACAATTTATTTCTTAAAGAGGTGGGAGTTAATCACAATCTTACCTTCAACGTTTAGCTGGATTGCACTGGAAGTGACTTACTTGTGCTTTTAACAGTGTTAATATAACAAGTGTAAATGGGTTGTAATTGTAACAAGCTTGCACAGTTAACATTTTTTAGAAGAGTCTTTCTGAAAATCCTGTAATCATAGGAATCAAAATAATCTATACAAAATGGGGATAAATGAATCCATGTTTGTTATGCTTCTTTCACACCACTGCGTACAATTCAAGTTATACTATATCAAAACATTCAATAGATTATATGACCATAAAAATAAAACCTTCTTTTAGTCTCCAAATCACATTGTATTTCTGAGTTATTTACTTTTATGGTTTTTATTTTCATATAATATATTTCAATGATACTATAATTAAAATGAGAAAAATACATCTCTGAAAGCTGTATGACTCAATTACAATCTTACCTTCAACATTTAGCTGGATTGCACTGGAAATGACTGTACATGGTTTTATGTAAAATCCACAGAAGTACAGTCCAGAGTCAGATATATCCACTTGCTTGATTTTAAGAAAGAGAGTGGTCAAGTTGGAACTCATTTCAAATGTTCCATGTTGATATCCATCACAGTATGAAGCTTCGTCACCAGCCCTGTAGATAGAGGAGACACAGCTTGGCTTGGTTCCGTTGAGCACTCTGAACCAATCGGACTGAGTTGGACTGATGGATATGTTGAGGCAGAGCAGAGTGACTTCTTCACCGGGCTGGACCTCCACAGTCTGACTAACCAAGGCAGAGATCCAGCCTGAAACACAGAGCAGACACAACAAAATATATAGTTGTTATAAAACCACATGAAGGTTTACAATATCTCTTCATAAAAGTTACGTATTTGATACGGAAACACATTATGGGTTGGATGTACAATTATAAAACTAGCCATTAAGTTGACATTAATTACATTTCAATACTTACTGAGGCTGCAAAGAAGCACAGCTGCTATTAAGGTGAAGCTTTCCATTGTGCGTATGACCATATCACTGCATGGGCACTCTATATTTACGTACTGTAAAGGGGGTGGGGGAATAAAAGGTTCATGCAAGGAAGCTCAAATCTTTCACCTCTCTGATATCTTTACCAGATGCAATTTCAGACACAGCATCCCTCAAATGATTTCAGACGGCGTAAGTAAATATGTACGTTTTATAGAGCCTTTATAAAATATATCCTCACTTTATCTGTCACAATCTCACATGGCAGCTCAGACGGTCAGACATGCATAGGTCACATGCAAGTTTGATGTTCTTAATAAACTATGCAGTTTCGGTGCACAGAACACAAAGTAATCCGACCCATCCTGCAGTCAATGGCCCATCTTTTTCCGTCAGTACCACAAGCGTGCCAATAACAAACTTTAAAAGTGTGAATAGCAGTGGACCGAGCATATACATGTAGACCTGGGGGGACACCAGTGGTCAGCACGATGGAGCTATTGCCCCAAACTCTGTGTTGTATCTGTCACTTGGTTTTGGATTCAACAGAGTGAGATGCTGACCACATTTGTATAAAAAACAGCCACAGACAGCACCCACAGCTTATCTTTTTCTAACCAAAGGACCTACTGTGCAAGCACTGCCATTCTCCCTCCCTTATTGAGCAACAAGTTGACTCCTGCAAACAACTTAGATTCATCTTGTCTCCTCAAGGAGGCACTACAGATCTCTGGTTTACAGAGTTGCCTTCACTAAAACACTTTCTATCCCACTGATTGAGTATGTGTTATCAACCTCGCATGAAGTACCAACAAAATGTTTCCATTAACCCTGGTCATGGGGTCATTTTAAGTCCCCTTCTATTAAAAACGTGTTTTCTCCGTAAGATGTCTTGTCAGAGTTTGATGATAGAAGTTGTTTTCAAATTCATCTTCTAAAAAAGGGCTATTTCTATGTGAAGTGATGTTACATTTCCAAAAATGTTCTTGAGAAATGTATAAAAAACGTGGGTAATAATTGTGAATTCTTAAATAAACCTGCAGAGCAAGTTCAAGCAATAATTTCAAAAAATGTTTTAAATGACCTACATTGCTCTCAATATCATTAAATATGTCTTCAAAAGTAGTTACAGGCCAAATGTAAAATGTGACAGAGCAATCATTTTATTTTATCTCGTATGTACTGTCAAGCACGCGTAATGTCCATTGTTTATGGTTTAAATGTTCCGCGTTCATAAGAAAGCCACAATTCCACATTGCAGAAAAAAATATAAATTATTTACTGCTACATTTCTATAACAAATACTGTGATTGCCAAACTTGACGGTTAATGCAATGTCCTTTTTGTGTTATTCGGGCCAAAACGGATGTTTGAGGTGTTACAAAGTTTGACCCTATTCCCAACCAATCAAATGCAACCTCCTTTTTTGGCTTGTGTCTGCTCTTTTGCTCGAAAACGTTCAGTTATAGAGACCTCTGAGACTGATGAACCTGTATATGGTCCTCTGTGGAGTGTGTAAGTCCCTTTTTATAAAATGTATTTTATCTGTGATTCTAATTTAAATTGTTTAATTGAACATGAGCTTATGTTGTATACCATTATCTGTTTTTGACCTAGTTCTGTGGGCAGTGATCCAGTCGGCAGCAGTCACACAGGACATTGGGGTTATCTCCGTCAATGTTGGGGACAGTGTGACTTTACATTGCTTCTACAACAGCCAAGTGGCCATGCACTTCTCCTGGTACAGACAAACCTTAGGAGGAAGACCTGAGCTCCTGTCTAGTGTTTACAAGCATGAAAAACAATCCAAAGTCTTCACCTGGATGAAGAAGAACCTTCGTTTCTCTGTGAAAAGGGAGGAAGGGATGAATAATTTAGACATCGCTGACGCCCAATTCTCAGATTCAGCTACATACTTCTGCGGAAGCTCGCACTCAAACATAGTGGAATTTGGAGTGGGGGTCTTTCTAAGTGTTAAAGGTATTGTACCTTTTGTTGTATTAGCTTTTACCTAACATGAAAGCAGAATTTGCTGGATATGTGCAGTTTTTGTACAAATTACCTGAAAAAACAACTAAATTACATTTTCAGGGGAAACATATCTTCTCCCTGAATACGGTTGTGGTTTTAAACACATGGTTAATGTTAACGTTGTAAATGGAAACAACACAAAGCAAAGGTGCTTGGTTAGGTTTAGTTTAGTTAAGAATGTTTTTTTCATTATTGATGTTCAGATGTCATTTAGAAATAAAGTACAATTTCTCAGAGGAAACATATGCCATTATGTCAACAAAACAAATGTAGGAGATGATTTGCCCTCGAAGCATAATTGACAATGCGTTTCAATGGAAACAAATATTTGTAGTCATTCAACACCTGTCAATTTGACAAACGGCTTATCAGTTTTCATATATTATCACAGACAAATAAATGTATTCATAAAAATAAGGTTTTGCTGGTACAAAGGTCCTACGTACATGTTATACATTCCAAAAATGAAATACTTGTTGTCTGCTGATTGTAGGAACCAACCACAAGAAAGTAGTCCAGGGGCCAGTATCTGAGACCATCAAGCCAGGAGGCTCTGTGACTCTCAACTGTACCGTACACACTGGGTCGTGTGAAGAAGAACACAGTGTTAACTGGTTCAGACAAGAAACTGGCCAAGGTATTCTTTACGTGCATGAGAACAAGAATAACCACGTCCCCACAGCGGGGAACTCTTCACAGGGCTGCGTGTACCATTTGCAGAAGACCAACCTGAGCTCCAGTGATGCTGGAACCTACTACTGTGCTGTGGCCTCCTGTGGGGAGGTGCTGTTCGGAAATGGAAGCAAAGTTCTCGTCCAAGCTGATGTCCAAGACCATATGGAACTGATGAGAATCTTAGTCTGGCTTTCCATCATCAGAATTGGTTTAATCTTCTTTTTTGTAACTATTTGCTTCTTAGTTTACATCAGTAAGCTTGGGTGAAGTCTTTAATGCAGAGTTGACTTTGCGCCGAATCTCTGCAGTTCAGAAATCGTTCCAAAAAATGTGTGTTTTGTGTTGGTTATATTATTCTTTTATTAAGAAAAGCAACTTTTTTAACATCAATACAAAATCAAACTATCAAAGGAGTGTGAGAAAAGTGTGACTCTATTTTCTAATTGACCAATAAACTTTGTTCAGGTTTTCCTAACCACATCATTACCTAAGCTCTGATATGTGTGTGCGGTTAAAAATAAATACACACATACAATACGCAATGAACTTCTGCTTCTGAACACATAGTGTGATCAGAGAAATAGTTTCCTGTCATCCACAGAGTGTAAGTCTTGGTAAGTTCCTTGAAACAAAATGAGGACATCCTGCTTAAGGCCCCCCACACAGAGTGAGCACATGATCGTAAATAGGCACCACAATGCGCAAAACAGAATAGAATATACAAGTATAGGAAGGTACTGACAACCACAAGATCTATTATAGAAAGGGACAACAAGTGTGGCCTGTTTTCTGTGATGAATCAAAGATGGAACACAACACAAATGATATTCACAAAAACATGATTAATTATATTTATTTTTGCGGGAATGTACATAATAACGCACAACACATTTTAATTATTGGCATTTATATTCAATTATTATTTTACATTTATTTAGTACAGGCAGGAGACACAAACCATGAGACAACAACAATGGAGGGGAGATGACATTCCCATCTCACAAAAAAGTAAAGTACAATAAAACCATACTAAAATAAAATAATGGTAATTACACTCATTTGACAAAAAAAAATAAATTAAGAAAGGAAAGAAGAGAAAAAACAACAGTCAATATGATTGCTTCAACATTTCAGATAACTAGGTTGACAGCACAATACATCCAAGAACCCCAAAACACACACAAGTAAAAAATTCAAAATTAAAGAAATCTATTTTCTTTGGAATTGTTTGTGTAATGCACAAGTACAATGTCATCCTTCATGCGGCCTGTGTAGATGTGTGTAAGAAACAAATCAGGAAATAGCCATTTTCAACCCAAACAGGAAATGGAGTTGGGGAAGGGGATACATGGGACACACCTGGGAGCTGATTGAAGGGGGAAAACAAACAAAAGAGCATTGACTAGCAGAAGTAGGATTAAGAGTGACTAAAGGCGGAGATCACTTACAGAATTTGGACATCTTTCCTAAAAAATAACAACAAAAAACAGTGATGTATTTAACGGTTCCCTGTGTTGGACCTAGTCAAGTCAAGGTAAGTCTTATTTCCTGTCCATAACCCTTTGAACCATCAGTACAGATTTGCATAGGATCTACAGATGAGATCCAAAAATGTATATATGTGTTGATGTCATCTTGTATTTTGCGGCTTGTATGGCATTAGCAACAAACCGACCACAGTAGCCCCCCGCCCACCCTCTTACCTGAATCCCCTGCCACAGCACTTCTGTGTGTCTGTGTATTTCTGGCCACCGGTTTCAACAGGATTTCTAAGAAGACGAGACGATGTGCTGTTTCATGCTGCGAAAATTCTAATTTTCTTTGTATCTGAGACCTATAATATATTGTTGAAATACTGTATAATACGTGACCTTTAAAGGAAAAGGATACCAAGTGGTATTTTTTGCATGTGAGAACGTTTTATTGCAAGGCAAGCTTTTATATTTATTGAATTTGGTGACATTTAAATGATTCTTTTAACAAATATATTTGTATACAGAAACATAGCACAGAAACAATTGCAGCATTACGGCCTTACACTGGAGTACACACATTCGGACTGGGTGTTTTCCCCCTCTCTTCTTGATCTGTTGCCGTTGTGTTGCCTTAAAGCAGCATAATGAAGGTTCTCTGCGTCTTGACCGAACTGCTAACGAGACATAAGATGTATTGATATTGTGGTAGACAAAGAAAAACACAGGCATGTACTGAGAAAAAAATATATATATTCAGGCTCATTTGTCGAAAAGGGTTGTCCTGACTTTTGTCCTGAGATTTTCACTATAAGATTATCAAGGACAAAATTATTAATGATGGCGATATTTATAGTACAATTGTAGAACAAAAAAAGGTTATGCTTTCAGTCAAATTCATCTTTGGATTAAATAGGTGTTTTATCAATTTATTTGGCACATAGTGAGAAACAGAAAAACACCGAAATGATTGAAAGGCATTACATTTTTTACTTTATTGTCATATGTGTATTTAAAAAATGAAATACATATTTTTTATTTTCAAATATTGCTGTATATCGTCAACACCCCTTTTTTCAAATATAACTTATATTGTTAACTTGACGATTGTATAGCGCACATGAGTTCTAGAAACAGCAAACATAGTTTGTCTTTCAATGGAAAGATGATACTCACTTCTGTATGCAGAGTAGAAGATGTTGAAAATGTGGCATTGCACTCTGTTTGAGACAAAATTAAGTAATGTTACTTTAATGCAATATGCACTCAATACTTGTTTCCAGCTTCAAATAAATATTGTTACCTGAATGTTGGCAGTTTCTTTGGTTCATCTTGTACACTGAGATAGCCAGTAAAACTATCAGGATGATGGTGCCAGCCAAAGCTCCACTCAAGAAATACACCAAGGCAAGAGAGAGAACATCATCTGTAAAGAGGCGAACCCCTGGAGAAATTACAGAGCTTTGAGAGGTTTTCTTCAATGTTGGTTAAATGATAGCATTGGATTTTTTTCAATACTTACAGGCCTAGTTGTACATTTAAAGGTGGGGTAGGTAAGTTTGAGAAACCGGCTCGAGATACACTTTTTTTGTTATATTCCATGGAATGCTCTTAACATCCCGATAGCAATGAATATCTGAAGTGCTTTGACAAAAAATCCATAAAAAATGTCATCTGTGGAAGCCGTAATACTGTAAAAAGCACGACCAATCATTTTAGCCGGCCCGGCTAAAGTAACTGGATGGCCTACCTGCCTGTCAGCCTTCCATCTGTGCACAAACTTATCTCGTGCCCTCATTGGTCATGTGCGCGTTCGTGTGTGTTGGAGGAGGGGCTTTGTAAGGAAGTGGCAGATTTTTTCCGGCTGTGTATTTTCATATTCTAGCGCACTCGAGCTGGTTTCGCCAAAATTACCTACCCCACCTTTAAAGGTTATTGGTAATTTTAAATCCTACAAGCCACAACAATATATTTTCCCAAGAGAGTTTATTGTAAGTTCTACAGTATGTGATCAAATTTTAGGTTAAGCTTATTTGAGGCTTTAGCAGTCTTAGTTAAACAAAATGTATCTTTCAAATACTAAGAAGTGACATGCCAAACAAAATAAATTGTTCATAGGTTTATGGGGTTAGTGTTAGCTAGCACAACTACTCTAAAACACATGAGACAAAATCCCCTTTTTATCTTCCAATATCAGTCTTTTTAGTACAAAGATCTCTTGTGTTTCTATATACATTGTTTAGTGTCTTAGCTGCAGCAAAGAAATACTTCATAGAGGAAAGTAATGTAGGGTTTAACACCAGCAAAATTGCAACACAAAACTGCCTATACAACAATATCCTTTTATTAGATTTGGCTAAACTTTGTAATTATGTGGAGGAGTTGCGCTTGGAAATAATTATGGCCAGATAGGGTGACCAGGTGCCAACGAACCACATAAATATTATTTAATTATTTTGTGATCTCCGAGTCTGGAAAAATGACCAGAGCTAGCTAACAGTCTGCTGACCTGTGGAAGAGCCGCACAGTGTGGTAAACTTTTATTAAATCAGCTGCTGGTACCTCATCTGTTTGGTAATCCTCTTTTGGTTTCAGGAGGAATATATCCATATATCAATATTTTCTTTATGGGTCAGGCGTTTCTGGTGAGTTTCGGGGAAGCGGCGCTACAAAACGTATTCACCTCCATGCGCAATTGAAATTTTTTTCACAAAAACTCCCTGGTATTCGACCTCCATCGGCTACACCCATAGGTAAATAAAAATGTCTCTGCTGATTGACATCTGACACAGCTAATGGTGATAGCCCTTTCTTGTTTTCGAAACACCTTTTGGATAAAAGGCACATTTTGGTGACTGTCAATCAAATGCGGGACATCGGCTAAATGTGTGGGACAAATGAAAAAATGCCGTGCAGTCATGGCCAGTATAAATAAAGACTTAGAAAATGCAAATCCATCGTTCAAGTTTGATAACATCACTAAATGAAACCACCTCTTCCTTAAAGTTACTTACCCTCAAAGTCCAGCGTGGTCCCGTCTCCAAACAGTACGTGTCCACATGAGGCAACAGCACAGTAGTAGGTCCCAGCATGAGAAAGATTCAGGCTCTCCATTGGCAGGTTGTAATCACAGGTGTGTGTTTGTGTGTTGGGATTTCCTCTCACACTGATCATTCCTGCCTCCATGGGTGTAAAGGAGTCCTGGAGAGTCCTCAGAGTTTTTGAACCAGTAAACACTGTGTTCTCCATCACAGCTGCCAGTGTGTACTGTACAGTTCAGAGTCACAGAGTCTCCTGACTGGATGATCTCAGATGCTGACTGATGGACCGAAACTGGGATGTTCAAACCAGAACCTTTTACATTGACAGTAATTCCATCACCGAATTTAAAGCTATATAAATCGCTCCCCACACAGAAGTATGTAGCCGAGTCTGATATTTGCAGATGTGTTATCTTCAAGTTGTTTGTACCTTCTTTTTTATCCAGTGAGAAACGTGAAGGTTTGTTTAATCCATCATTAGAGCTGCCTTTTTTATCATTATGCCGATAGAATGTAGACACCAGCTCTGGTTTCTGTCCAAGAGTTTGCCTATACCAGTAAAACATCACTGTATTAGCATTAAAGTCATCGAAGGCACAAGGCAAAGTCACACTTTCCCCAACATGTGAATGATAATGTAATGATGATTTCCAAGTTGTCGTATAAGCTGAGGAGAAAATAAAGAGACAAAGAAAACAGATCATTAATGTAATGCTGGTGTGTCAAAATGCATGGAAACAAGTTGCAAGCATAGTCAAAGTATAGAGTTAAAAAAAGACCATAGCAAACACAACTTACCAACATTTGCCAAGAGCAGACATAGGACATGCAAAGCAACGTTTGGAGGTGTCATCGTGCTTCAGACACTATGTTGAATGAATTGCATCTCTGTTGGTTCTCCACCCTTCACAGAGAACACTGGGTTTCATCGGCCAATCAGATTAGACGTCCTATTTTAGAAATGGTGAACACATGTTTAGTGCCCTACTTGAGATTTTTGGTCTCATCATAAATACTACATAGTTGAAACTGCTCAACATTGTTTATTTTGTAACAGTTTTCCATATAATTGTTGGCATACATCGGTGGAAGGAATGCTTTTCCAGATAACTTATTAAAAAACATATACCCCCATTTTAAGTGTTGTCCTTGTGTCTGATCCACGGTTAAGGACATTAATTGCTTTTACTATAGTCCAATCACCAAGAAAGTTAAAACAAATTAAAAAGCTTGGTTTTATACAGTATCACTCAAATTAACAGTAATAGGTCATATTATTTGGAGTCTACTACAGCATGCAGGTTTTGAAAGGTTGTGAAAGTGCGTTCACAGAGATAAACACCTGTCTATAGTTAGAAGGGAATTTTAGCAATTGAACAACAAATGCTTTCCCAATTAAAGATATATAGCAGTTTAGATAAAGGCAATTTGCAGTGCTGAACTTTTTTTACTTTCCTATTTGTAATGGCCACAAATGCAAATGCTTTGTCAGGAAGAATTGATACCGGACCAACACAGCCCCCCCCAGGATCAGGAAAGTTATTTTTGCTGACGTTTGAGTCCCTACAAACTCTATCCAAATGTCGATCTCCGGAGCTGCCACGCATTATCCCCATTGGAAACCCTAACCCTAATTTGTCACGTGTCTTATTTCTAGGCCAATCTCAACTGATATAAAATTAACCTTTCCAATGGCTATTTGTACTACATTGTTGTGGTTGTTTCCTTTTTGCTTAACTGACCCAGAAGGACATTGACCTAGATGAAAACCATGTATTTATTTTTCTTTTAAACGTGACCCTTTCATTGCTTCATGGCTTATACATTCAGAAGAATATGGTGCACCTTGGTCTAAATACTAACAACATTGCTATATAACCACAATGTGTTGTGTTAGATTTTAGCCTCGTGGAACTTTTGTTGCAATATATTCACCTTTGTCTCTTTCCCATTCTTCAGTTCACTTTCTTGCTTTCATTCGTCCTATTAATTCGAAAGATTTGCCAAATATAGGATCAAGTGTAAACTCAAAAATCTTCTTGGAGGTGCATCATGTTCACCCAGTTGTTTGCAAAGGTTCCTTGGTAATACAAATAAAATAAATAAATGAAACGTGTTTATATGTCACAGAAATCAGTCATTCAGAGCCCGGAAGCACAACTATTATTGAGTTAACACATACCAGGCACTCTTTAAAAAAAGTAGGTTAATACACCTCCTACTGCATTATTTCAGCAGTAGTCATTCCGTCTTTTGCTGGTGAGATTTCATTTTCACTTTGTGTACACAGCATGTTGTCTGCATTTAAAGGTCCCATGACATGGCCATTTCTACTGATCATAATTCCATTGTTGAGGTCTACTAGAATATATTTACATTGTTCAATGTTCCAAACTCACATTGGTTTCTCATACAGCATCTCTGTAAAGTGTATTTACTCTCTGTCCTACACAGCTTGTTGGAGCTCCTGCCCCCCCCCCCCCCCCTCCCTGTGAGCCCACTGTGCTCTGATTGGTCAGCTCGCCCACTCTGTTCTGATGAGTCCACCACCGTTACAGCGGAACATCAGTGATTATGTGTTACAATGGCGTTTGCAACCAGAAAATGACACCAGTAATGACAAACAGATGAGAATACTGCGTGGGGTCTGGGTGCCGTGTTGGCGGGACTTTGCGCGGCTCGCTGCTGTGAGGAGCGGACAGTGTGAGCTGGGTTAATTACCTGGTTGCTGCGTGGGGTCTGCGAGACAGCGAGACATCGCGAAAGGACGCGGGAAGGGGGGGGTGCTGAGGGGGCTGCAGCACCCCCATCTGCGAGGCTCCACTAGCACCCGCACCCAGTGTGCGAACTATACCACGGTCTCCGGGGGAGCCGGGATTTTTTTTGTTTTTGCCGGGGGGGGTAAATGCTGATCCGTGCATTCATAGCAACAGCACAGACATAGGCCTATTATAAAGAGAAAATCTGTTGCACACGGGGTGGTGCCACAGGTCTACATTTACATGAAACGTCCCGATGGATCATGTTCATGTCAACAGATTTCCCGAGCATGTAGGCCTATGGGCTACGCAAACTCAACTTGATAATAAATAATCCACGGACCACCAATGTAACGTTTGACTGTTTAATTAAATCAACTTAAAATGACTCAAAAACAGGCTACATTGTTTGACATGGGCTATAGCCTATTATGGCTGTAGCCTACACAGAGCCGAACACACGCGATAAGAGCAGCCAGCGGCACCAACCATGAACAATATTAATATTAATAATACAGCTATAGCACAACACAACCCTCTCACTGCCTGGAGAGACGCGACGCCACACACACAACACAACGGCTCGTCATCTTGTGTCTCTTCAGCCCCCAAGTTAACGTTAGCTGTCAAGTTAGCACTAGCACTGACGTTAGCTCCCTCCTCTCTCGGTTCGGTTGTAGCAGCAGTCACAATGTACGATGTGCTACCACCAGCTACATTCGGTTGGTCTTCTTGATCAGGTTGTTTGGCCGTCTTTTTAAAGAAATTACCCAAGGTAAGTTGTTTTTTTCTTTTCGACATGTCAGCAGCAGCAACAATGCCTGGTAAACATGCAGTGCTAACTAAACGAGCTTGTGAGTGAGTGGGTAGTGGGTGGAGCTGCGGGCAGCGTGCAAGCAGGCGACACTTTTTTCATGAATCATAAACTCTAAATATAATTTTATTTCACTTATTTTACACCTTTGAAAAAAAAACCATGCCCAAAAAGGAATTAATTTGGTCATCATATCAGTATTTTAGAGAGCTCCCCCCAAATTTCACAAACCATGTTCCCAGGGGAGCTCATGTCACCACTAGGGGAGCTATAGCTCCCCCTGCTCCCCTCCAGTTCGCACCCTGCCCGCACCCCCAAACGCAACGCACCTACAGTGTAAGCGCGCCACAGTTTTGCCGCTGCGAGGCTCCACTAGCACCCCTCCCAGCGCGTCACAGTTTTGCCGCTGAGAGAGAGTGTGTGTGTGTGAGGAGCTCCACGGATTGGTCCATTTGGGCCAATGGGTCCATTTGGGTAAGGTCACGTCACCATACCCAGGAAGAAAAAAATGGAAAAAGAGAAATCTCCAACGAGGCGTTCTGGGGCAGCATAGACAGGTCTTTTCTGTGTTAGAGTTTTACTCGCTACAGGGTGTACTTTGAGGGTTTTTCACTTTGCGGACCGTTTACATGCAGAAAAACCTTCATAACACACAAGGGGACGGGTAATAACCGGAAAAGCATGACATGGGACCATTAAGACATGAGCCTTATATAGCACTGCAGCCCCTTTTTAACATTATTGTTTGCTCTTGATTTTGTTGCTGAACGTTTTTGCCTGTAGACCCCAGGCCAGTCTTCCTGTCTTTATACAAGGCCTTTAGTTTCCACCAGCGGAAACCTGCTCACAGTAGCTCAGACCATATTCACCACAGGAGTCAAAACAAGAGCGATAAGCAGAGATGTTGCACCGTCTGCTTACGCTTTTAGATAGAAGATGATATAAATAGACCAGAGGGGATTTTTTTTTTACCATGGTAGTCAATGCTGTATATATTTGATCTTTCAGTACATTGTACTCTGTTGACTTACAGTAGACTGCAGACACTAAATCAACCTAACTTCATTTAAATGTACTGTACTGGTTGGTCTTACTGAATTATGTCCTCTCTTATTCACTTAAACAATAACATTTGTCCGAATATGTTTTTTTCCGTCAATAAAGCACCACTGTTCTTTGATATATAAGTTTATTATTTCCATGTTACATTAGTATGTGTTCAAGCATCTTTGGGTTCAAGAAAAGCGCTATAGAAATATAATTTATTATTATTATTATTATTATATTACATGTTACATCAATCCACAGAATAGTCAGCCCTGAGCGCCACAGGCAGACATGGCAAAGCTTGAATATTTTCACATCACATTAATATTTAATCTTCAAAATATACAAGCGTGTCAGCAGTCACTTTACAAATATACCCTTTTCAATGATCCAGACGTGATCTTTGCATGTAAATGAGTAGACAGAACACATAGAAAAATTGCTTTTTTTTAATCAAAATGTTGAACCTACAGAGGGTCCAGCTTCAATATTTCGGTTGTTACTATACTTTATCATTCTGCTGGACCGATGTCGCCAATGCCCCGGTTAATTTGTGTTTTCAATACTTAAATAGGAATATACTTTAACCATGTTGTTTTCAGGTCAGTGAACTTCAAGATGCACATAATGTTACGTATACTGTAGATAGGGAGATATGCTGGTAATGAATCAGCACGATCAATAAACAGATTTTTTTTACCTTGGGCCCGACCCCATAAATCAAATGCCCACCCATGTATTTAGGTCTGCTGCCGACTCTGATAGGACATATACAATAATCCATTCATGCTCCATAGTCTTAATTCTTTCTTGTTGTCCGCCTTCTTAAAATGAATCTTCTCGGTTCGGTTGACAGTGTCTGACGTCTGAATATAGGACAGAACCTTGACATTCACAGTATCTCACTGCAGCTTGTCTGCGGGGCAGGCTTCTGGGGTCTGTATAGGTAACTGCATCACTAGTCTGTGAGGAATGGAAATTCAAATAATTCAGAAGCAGGAAATCAAAAGGCAGATTAAAAATCAAACGGTATGCGGTATGCGGCATACAAAGGAAATTGTTGGTGCTGAGACAAACTCATACTTGATGATCGTCTGAAGATCCATCAGTTGACGCTGAAGAAACAAAAAATATAACTCAATTCCAGTTCTGATTCTGCTGCAGATCTAAAGCTGACCGTTACAACACATGGTGTAATACCTGTGGAGTCTCTCCTCCGGCTCTTGCAAAGAGTGGATATGAGGATGACTGTCATAATCCCAAGAGCGACGTTGGACAGCATCAGAGCAATAATGGTTGGATTTAGTTGTGATTCGAAAGCATTGTCTGCAGAAGAAAATAAACAAACAGTGCTTAATACGTCTCGATCTTTGATACAAATACTGTACCTAGCAGTGTAATGTCATTCATTTCACAAACGTTGATGTATTCTCTGGACTAAATACGCTCACATTTCCGCCACGTACTGTTGACAGTTTAAGGCAGTAATACATATTAAAGGGTCAGATCACACAGCATACCACACTCGTATTTATATGCAATATAATATATCCATGCAAATAGTTTTATTTTTCATAGCAACTCTATCACAATCCAATACAACAGACTAGTTTTCTAGAAATTCTAAAATAAAAACATAAAATTACCATTAATCCTAGACCTGCTGCAAAACCCTTATAAAACATTAACCATAACTATTTTAACCAAAGTATCCTCACCTAAAAGTTCCAAATAACAATTATTTGTTATAGTTGACCAATCTGCTGATTATTTTCTTGATTAATCAGCTTGATTAAGCTTGGACTTATTCTGGGCTTTTTAGAACGGTTGGGTATATAAATACACGATATCTGTTTTTATTATTTTCAAAATTGGCTACGAATAAGAAGAACTTTGAACACTTTTATAAATATAGTTTCTATCTTACTGTGAATATAAATTCTGGTCCCATTTCCAACCAGTGTCTGTCCACAGGAAGTCACGACACAGTAGTAGGTTGCAGCATCTTCAGAGCTGATGTCCCTCAGGAGAAGGCTGTAAACGCAGGTTGTTTTTCCACTCTCTTTCCTCTGGCAGGTCCCATTTCCAGAGAAGTAAATCATTTGTGGAGCAGAATGCTGAGAGCTCTTCAGCCACGTGACAATAGTGTGTTCTGCTGCACAGTGGCCTGTGTGTGAGCAGCTGACGGTCACATAGTCTCCTGGCTGGACTGATTTTGACTCTGGCTGCTGGATGACAGACTCACTGAACATGTTTGCACCTTGGGATGCAAATCAAAGAATTACATTACGTTAAAATGACCTTTGGTGCTTTGATAACAACCTACAAAATACCTTTCAGCATCAAAAAGGTTCCCGATCCAAATTGGATGTCTTTTAATTGCACGACTCCACAGAAGTATGTTCCAACGTCTTCCCATGTTGTCGCAGATATGCTCAGGTGGATTTTGGTTCCGTTAAATTTGGCTGAATAACGGTTAGGAAATTCCTCTGACATTTCACTCCAATTATATTTATCATGAAATGCTACCACAAGCTGTAGTCTCTTCCCCAACGTGTATTTGTACCAGACTCTCTTTTGTATGATACTTTTTATGTGACATTCAATAGTAGCCGAGTCTCCAATCTTCACCATTTGGAAAGGAACCGGCTGAGAAATGTCATCTGTCTGTGCCACACCTGAAACATAAAGACAGAGATTAGCTTTTAGTTTGATGATGAAAAGATTCCACAAGTGGATCGTTGTTACTTACACAAAGGCCAGAGCAGGAATACATTCACAAAGTTCAGGATCATCTTATCTTCTTTATCTGCGTTCACTGGCCCGGCTTCTTCTCAGCAGCAGTTCTGACTTAACTCATTTACAACTTGTCCTACATTTGGGGCACATCCGTCAGGTCTGATTGGTTCACCATATTTACCTTGTTAAACATGATTGGCTGTTTCACATTGAAGCAACCTTCCTCATGACCTGTTTTTCAACTAAGTGTCAGCAAAAAATTGTTTTGAAAATGTGTTTACTTTGTAAAGAGCCAATGAGTCAAGACATACTGTAAATGATAATACATGGCAACTCACAGGTAAACCACAATGAGGTTGGCAAAATGGAAACTTCAGTATATATGCAAACTTTTCAGAACAATGGGCCACACACATTTTGTAGACTGTAACGTGTGTCTACATGCAAAAAGCTTTTATAATGTATGTATGTATATAATAAATAATTCAACATACCATAGCACTTGGTTACACTGACCTGAATGAGGTAAGCCAACTGGCAAACTAGAACGTTTAAAAAAAACAATGAAGAGCGTGGGCTCTTTGAAGAAACAGTGACGGGAGTTTTCAGAGGGACTATTTCTTCAGTATAAAGTAGTCCCACTCCCTTATTGTTTAGGGGCAGAGGCAGATATATTAGAGAATATTTGAATATCTGGGACAAAAACATGTATTTGCTACCATGAGAGGTAAACAAGGAGCTTTTTGTAATTTTTCTGAACTGATTGTGAGCTTAAAGGTGCTCATCGTTTCAGTGGTCTTTCCATCAGCTGTTTTAATTGGTGTAAATTCCCATGTTGTTTTTCTAAACTCACGTTATTGTTGGATCAAACACTGAGTTCTTAAAGGTTGCAATGTTTCTTCCGTAAGTACAGATGATTTGTGGAGTGCAACAGCATATAAGCCATTATAGGTGGAAACAAAAGAGAAAAAGTGGACGTGTGGATATTAGTTGAAAATAAAACACAACTGTGTGTGTGTGTGTGTGTGTGTGTGTGTGTGTGTGTGTGTGTGTGGTGTGTGTGTGTGTGGTGTGGTGTGTGTGTGTGTGTGTGTGTGTGTGTGTGTGTGTGTGTGTGTGTGTGTGTGTGTGTGTGTGTGTGTGTGTGTGTGAGAAACATATCTTATTGAGTAGTCTGGCAAAATAGTAAAAAACAAGTCCATTAACTATGATCCCATGACTCATTGTAGTAAGCTGATCTAAACATGATGAAGCCTGTATACTTTGAGATTTGTTTGGACTCAAGCCAGTGAATGTTTACTCTGAAAACTTTAAATGTAGCAAGATCAGTTCAGAATGTAGAACTATGCCTGCTCTTTCTCTACTATAATGTTTAGCCGTCTTACCTTCTGTTTTCTCATTTCCTGTAACAGTGTGAATTCATATAGTTCTATCTCGCATGGTGGTGAAGCATATATTGTAAACTTTTGAAGATACTATTAAGTACTTAGACACAGACCCATGACGTACTGCGTATCACAGTCATGGAAAACCGGAACCTCAATGCAAGATAATTGTTGAATTTGGAGGTGTCTTTCTGGTGGATGAACATGTCCAGACAAACCAATGTTGGTATTGTGGCTGTCCACAAGTTGGGGCACCATTGGGTTGATGCGTTTATTTAAAATGGTATGTCCCTCCTCTAATGTTAGATTAAAAAATAAGTTAATCCAGTCCAATTTTTGGGCTTGCTTAGAAACCCTTAGAAGACCTTTATTTGTCTTTTTGAACAGGAACACATATAAAACATGTACAGTTGGACTACTTAATACTTGAGTACACGCATTCAGTCTTGGGGCTGTTCCTTTGTCTCCTGGATCGGTTGACCTTATGTTCCCTGACAGTTGAGTAATGGATGGTCACTTCATTTTGGTCACCCTAATAACAAAACATAAACCACACAATTATACTTAAAACAAAGACTGTGTTCTTAAAAAGGTTTCAATGGTAAAAGTTGATCAAACATAAGATACCTCTGCATTTGTTGTGGAGGGAGCTGGAACTCTTGCATGAGACTCTGAAAATAATAAAAATATATTTCACTCTAATGTTGTGTTGAATGGGTCCACATTATAAGCGCAGTCTAAAAAATATTAGTTACAGTACCTGTACATTTGCAGCTGTTTCTCTTGCTCATCATGCACAGTAAGAAAACCAGTAAGACAATCACAATGAGAGTGAATGCCAAAGCTCCACTCAAGGAATACACCAAGATAAGAAAATCCACCTTATCTGTAGAGAGTCAGACATCAGGACACATTAAAAAGCTTTAAGGACATCAAGGAAAAACCCTCCAATAGAGTGACTTACCTTCAAAGTTCAGCATGGTCCCGTTTCCAAACAGTATGTGTCCACATGAGGCAACAGGACAGTAGTAGGTCCCAGCATGAGAACGATTCACGCTTTTTGGCAGGTTGTACTCACAGGTGTGTGTCTGTGTGTTGGGTTTCCTCTCACACTGACTGCCTCCACGGGTGTAAAGGAGTCCTGGAAGAGTGTCTTCAGGGTTTTTGAACCAGTAAACACTGTGTTCTCCATCACAGCTGCCAGTGTGTACTGTACAGTTCAGAGTCACAGAGTCTCCTGGCTGGATGATCTCAGATGCTAACTGATGGACTAAAAACGAGATGCTCAAATCTGAACCTTTTACATCGACTGTAATTCCCTCCCTGAATTCAAACTGGTAAGAATGGCTATTTGCGCAGTAGTAAGTGGCTGAGTCTGAAATTTGCACATCTCTTATCTTCAGGTGATTTTTTCCTTTTCCCGTATCCAATGCGAAACGTGGATTCTTGAATTCATCGTGAAATGTTCCATTTGGTTCGTACTTGTAGTAGGTTGAGATAAGCCTTGGTTTCTGTCCCACAGTTTGCTTGTACCAGTAAAATCTTGTGTCAACATTACTGCCATGGAAACATTTCAAAGTAAGCTCGTCCCCAGTGTTAAATGATAGAATACCACTCTCTTGATGAACAGATAATTTCAGCTCCGTCATCTGAGCTGAAGAGATAGGAGAGACAAATCAAATGCAGAAGTATAGAAAAATAAACTCGACACACAACAATGATTTGGACCAATATCATGGGGATATAAAAGATACAATTTTGTACCACAAAAATACAACTCACCAGTATTCCACAAGATTAGAAATCCGAAATATAACATGATCACATGAGATGTCATCGTGTTGCCGCGTTGAATGATGCACATCTCGATGCTCTCTCCACTCTTAAGAAACATCACTGAATCTGTTTGGCCAATCAGAGGTGACACTTTAAACTATGTCCCGTAAAGGAAACATGGTCACAGGTTTACTGCCACCTACAGAGTCAATTTGTTGCTTAAATATGATCACATTTGAGAAAGTATATAAAAGATTTTCTCATGTTGGCATTACATATATAATACATATAAATCTCTATCTACAGTATAATTACCTATAATATTAATGGATTGACTATGTCTTTTTAAGTCTCTCTCCAAAGAGAATATGATCTTTCAAGCCATTTTGTAGAACCTTATCTCATGGACTTCCATTTCTTGAATTTTAAAAAGGATATGTTTTATAAATTGCAGAATTGCAGTTGTTTCAGTGCACGGTACATGTACAGTACATGATATGGACTGCACTTTTCAGTTTTCACATTGATTACCAATTCTAAAATCAATAGAAAATTCTTCTTGGACAATTTTAACCTAAATGGCACAGGAAGCTGGCACAAAAATGTTCCAAAAGGGGAAAGAAATTACCCCAACTGCATTTGAGGATGACATATATATATATACAGTGGCGTTTCTAGGTGTACAAAACTGGGGGGGCAGAAAGAGGTCGGGGGAGAGAGAGAGAGAGAGAGAGAGAGAGGGGGGACAGAGAGAGGGGGGGAGGAGAGAGAGAGAGGGGGAGTGTCAAATTACATACTGAAGACCACAGGAGCAACACTGTGAGCGCATACATTTACGTACACAGCGTGGGGATATCATAGTAATGCACCTTCATACATGGAGTAAAGGTCACCATCACAAAGTAATTCTTAACAATAACAACAACCGTAATGCTTTAGCATTAAAACACCATAGACTGTAAATATAAGGAAAACACAGACACTCATCATCGAGGTCACAATATCAATCGATCCAGCAGAGGCAAAACACAGAAGATCAACAAAATATATGACATAAATGAACTTACCAAAGCTGAAGGCTCACTTGAAAAGAAAAGCGGCACGGCGGTCCTTCCTCTGACAGAATGTGTCTATCACTTTGGGGATGAAGTCCTGTAGTTGCTGGATCAACTGGCTTTCAATTGAAAGCATGGCCAATGCGTTAAGTCGCGGCTGTCCCATGGTGTTGCGAGTGAAAGTCTTTATCCTTTTGAGGGTGGAAAAGTTCCTCTCTGACTCGGATGTCGTCATCGGAGTTGTCACTATTATTTTGACCAAAATAACAGTCTCAGCAAACGTTTCCTCCAAGTTGTTCTCGTGAATGGATTTCAACAGAGACAGGGCAGTGTTTCCAGTGTGAAGCTCACTGTGGCGGTAGAGCGTGGTCAGCTCAGACTTCAACTTCTCCTTGTTTCCCAACGCAGGCCAGTTTCATGGCGCAGTCAAGCTCAGGTGTAGGAAATGACAGGACATGCTGTGGGAAGAATGAGCTGTCAACAAGCTTTGCAGCGATCAAATGGTCACTCTGTGAGAACCTCTGTTCCACCTGTGAGATGACTGTGTCACAAGCCTCCTTCATCACCGGCGCTGTGCTGCTGACTCGTCGGCCTGGCTCGTCTGTTCCATCATGAGCAGTGGCGGCCAATGCATCAGTTTTCTGCCTCATTTTCTGAACATTTTCCTTGAAACGGCAGAGCGCGCTGTTGATCCCAGGTGCATCGATGCTTCGTTTTTGCAGAGTGTTGTATAGAACATCCACTTCTGGCATAAGCAACGAAAAAAACTCCAGGAGCTGCATAAATGCTCGGTCCCGCAGTTTCTTTGACAGGCCGTATGCCTCACTTATGGTGACCGCATCCCATCCTGGTTGTGCGCGTATATGCTTCATACACTGAAGTAGTGCATCTCGGGTCTCCCACACCGCGTTCACAGTTCTGCTTTTAAAGTTCCATCTCACAGCCGGTGGCCGTGGGATGCGTCTCTGTGTTGCCTCTGCAAGAGCTGCAACACGTTTTGGAGCACCGGAGAAAAAAGTGGAAAAAGCAGTTAGATCTGCAAAAAACCCCTTCAGGATGCTCATCCTTGCTGAACACAGTTGCTGCAGGGTCAGGTTCAGTTGGTGGGCGTAGCAGTGAACAAACTGAGCGTTTGGGTACGTCTCCTTCATCACCGTCTGTACCCCGCGCACGTTACCGCTCATGACGGCCGCCCCGTCATAGGTCTGAGCGATTAGCTTTTCTTTCAGCTTCAGGGGTTCCAAAACAGCCTTGATGCTGTTAGAGAGACCTACACCAGTTTTGTCCTTTACTTCCACAAACTCCAAAAAACGCTCTGTAACTGTGAGGTCAGGCATAATGTATCGCAGCACAATCACCATTTGCAATTTACAGGAGACATCGGTTGTCTCGTCGGCCTGAACGGCAACAAATGATGTGTTGTCCACTTGCTTGGCTATTTCCTCCCTGTACACATCATACATGCAGTCCAAGAGTTCATTCTGTATGGTGCTTGATGTCCCTTTGAAAACAAGCTGAGCTTCGTAGTGCCGTCGAAGCCTCACACATTGTCTCGAAAATTGACCTGAATATCCCTGGATTCAGAGAGTCCGCCGACTCGTTGTGGCCCCGCAGTGCTGTCTCACATTTCCCACACAGTTTAATACAGGTGATGATCCGACCAAGCACGTACCTGTTTTCTTCCACCTTCCTATTATGAGAATCAATGCCACGTCTGTAGGCGCTGTCAATCTGAGCTGCAACATTCACCCTTCCAAGTAATCCCAATTTTACGGCATTTTCCAAATGACTGTTGCTGCTCTCATGCTTCATTGTCCTCTCCGAAAGATGCTTTAAGTCCTTGTAACCTGTCCTCGACCAAGTACCTTGATCTTCACCAAAAAGCAGGCAAGGAAAGCAAAAGAGGGAATTCTTCTGGATGCTCGCCGTTAGCCATTTCTTTTTAGCAAACCACTCAGCGTTAAACCCACGTTTAACTTTGCCCGCAGTCTGGACCATTTGGAAATCCGGTGGATGGTGGGCACCGAGGCGCTTTACCTCCAGTTTCTCTCCGAGACTAAGTGTCTCAAATGTGTGCTCCAGTAAATGGTCAACTTCATTCATTTTCTTTCAGTTTTTTACTTCTTTTAATCGCTGGTGATGTTAGCTATAGGCTATGCTGCTCTCTCGTCTCCTCTTCAAACTACACGTGACGTTTCGCAGCACTGCACACGTGAGTACTTACAGCCAATCAATTCTGAATTATGTGAGATGACGTATGGTGGGGATGGGAGCACTATGCCCCTACGGTCATTATTTTTTTGCCACACACATTCAATAGAAAAATACTCTGAGCATGCGCAGTGTAGTTTTTACAATCACCGTTCACTTAGACTGTGAGAGGGAAGGGCAGGATCGGGTTTTGTCCCACATGGCTCTAAACAGCTCAAAACGGCCCTCTAGACACTAATTAGAAGAACACAGACTAAAACAGAAATGTACAGACGAATCAGATTATTAAACATGACCTTAAAATATATTTTATATGTTTTTTTATTTATTTTTTAGTATTTTTTTGTAATCATTATTTGTAATACTTTCTTCTGACACTAGGTGGGGCTGTGCCCCACCTGCCCCTAATGACCCGCCGCCACTGTATATATATATTGTTCTTTGAGGCTTTTGCTATAGCTTGGTTAGTACGACAGGTTTTCCATTAATCATCAAAATGGATGGTATTTTAAGACCCAGAAATCTATATTACCCCTCTTGTAAGTTTATGAGAATATCAAAGGAATATTGGATACAAATGACTCTAAAATACTATACTGGGCCAGAGGTATGTGGAACATATACAGTGGAAAGTCAATAAAACAATGAAGTCAATCTTTATTGGCTCCATGATGGGTTTTGTTAGTTAAAACATTACGATTATAACAAAAGGTGATTATTGAAGCAAGTCAAAAAGAAACACTGTTCTTTCCATAGGCCTATTTAAATGGCCACATGTCTCAGTGATAATGGAGCCATACAAAGGGAGACATTGATTTAATTCAATGCATCCATATGAGACTAATGGATTCATTCCTGTTTATATACAGTGTGTATCACCAATATATTCAAACCAAACAGACTTTTAACCGGACCTCTAAGTATTAGTAGTTTCCGTATTGTTAAATGTGACCTAACAAGTATTCTACTTTTGAAATAGGACTGCAAGTGGTCTCTCAATGAAGTATCATCTATGTGAGAAAGCAAGCACCCTTACATCCTGCTCAAAACCACAAACGCTGCTGCACTAAGAGATACAACACAAAAAAAAAGATACTGACTGTTGAGTTTATTTGTCTATGTTTTGTGTCTGCACCAGAACGGACCACTGTGACGCATTAAAGCAGAACACTTCCTGTTACTAACCTCTGTGCGCCCACAGCCCCCCCCCCCCTTAACTGAAGCGAAAAAAACAATGCTGTTAGCTGGCCTCTCATTTGATATTATGTATGAGCTCTATTGAGATTTATAATACTTTGAAGAGTTAGCCAAATGGCCAGATTAAAAACGGTTGGCTTAAAATATGCATTCACTCTTTCACTCACTTGTAGGCTATGTGTTCACATGTTTTGTTATAGGGAGATACCACATTCTCTACCACTTTGATATATTTAAGAAGTTAGCAAGTGTATTGCACGTTTAGCTTTCCAAAACAGCTAATGATGAGTATATAATTTACTGAATGATCTAGCTGACTGTGCCAGTTATTTGCAAGTTATGTAAATCGTAGCCAAGTGAAACCTGGGTTGCTGAAAAATAAAGCTAACACAGAAGTGTAACAAATCTGCAGTTCATTGAATGGCCACTTTAAGCAGGCTTCAAAAGCAAGTCAATCTCCAATGACCTTCATGTTAAAATGCTCAACATTACAACCAAGAGAAACTTGTTTCCAGCCTAGTTTAAAAGGGTTTGGTCCATATAGCTAGTTTTCCACTATATGGCAACTGTACTGGGGTAAACGTTCAAATAATTCACCTGTATGACTTGAGTTTTGTCACATATTGGGGTGGGTTAGGGAACCCAAGTTTTCTAAAAAAAACGGGGCTACTGCGAAGAAAAGCTGTTGGATTCAACAAGAAGACACACACAGTATTGTTCCAAATGTTGATGTTTATTGGATTAATGACAGAAATTGCACAAACAAAATTACACATTTGATTTGGTAAAAAACAATGATAATACAAATAATAAGATGATCAGCATCGATGATCAGATGATACAGCATCCTAGCTTCTAAATATAGGCTACAGGTTAAGTCATACATGTATTCACAAGTACTAAAAAAAAGCATATATCTTTAGATATATGGTTTATTTGAAAGAACGTTGCGGACATATCCTGCTTCGACCACAAAGTGGAAAAATACTATGCTAAAATGTACATCAACAAAGAATAGATTTTTTTTAGCTGCGGACCACAAGGAAGAGAAAACAAAAACACATGTTTTACTCAAAAGTACAAATTGCACCATGTCAGGTTCTACTGCTTTACGCTGTAATACACACATTCACTCCAGGTTGGATCCCTCTGCCTTCTTGATCTGTTTTTCATGTTCACACCTAAAGCAGCATAGTAGATATTTTCTCCACGTTGGTACTCCTGCAACACAATATATATATAAGTAGATAATTATTGTGATCCTGCAAAATATAAAAACTATTTCTAGGAAAATTATTTGGAAGGAATAGGGTGTTTAAATGGTAATTTAGCAGTTATTTATGGTCAACTGATTTTACTCACCTCGGCTTCTGCTGTGGACGGAACTGGAAAAAACAGAAATGGTTATTTTTAATCAAAGGCCAAATTCTGCAAAATCAAGCCATAAAATACAAACCGTTCAAGTTACCTGTGGATTGGCAGCTGTTTTTCTTGTTCATCATGCACACTAAGAAAGCCAGTAAAACACTGAGGATGGTGGTGAATGTCAAAGCTATACTGGAGAAATGAACCAAGAAACCAGAGTCCACGCCAGCTGTAGAGAGAAACAGAGCTTTCAGTAGGTTTTTATCCAAAGTTTGGTAACCCCTAGATTCCACCGGGTCCGTCTGCGTCAGAAGCGTCCCAGAAGCGTCCCAGAAGCGTCCCAGAAGCGTCCCAGAAGCGTCTCGGCGCAGGACTCCTCTAAAATTAGGATGAATCCTATTTTTGACGCGACGCAGCCGTAACGTAATGTCGGGCAGGCAGGAAGTGGAACGTTCAGAGCATATACTATATATGTATATATGTATATATGTATATATATATATATATATGTATATATACACACACACACACACACACACACACACACACACACACACACACACCCACACACACACACACACACACACACACACACACACTCATTTTGCAGACCCTATCCCTCCGTAGTCTTTCAAGTAGGAGGAGAAATGCCAGCGTTCTCCTCCGGTTTACAGGCACTGTGTAAATTATATATAGAATAATTATGATGGTGAATGCATTTTTTCACCACTAAAATACAGCAACACATCTTTGATTAATGTCGTTATAACTGGGATATTACAATTATTATTAACTTTGTCTGTACAAAGTAGCCTGTCCAGGAAATATGCCCAAATCAACAAACACTGCGAGCCGGCAGGCAAGACGCTCCGCTTCTGAAACGCGCCTGGTAGGGTATGACGCCGGAGGAGGCCGGACCAAAACCGCGGCACAGCCGTAACACGCCCGGTGGAATCTAGGGGTAAGACAGTACCAATGAGATCTGCAACAACCTCTGCTAGAAAGTTACTTACCCTCAAAGTCCAGCTTGGTCCCGTTTCCAAACAGTATGTGTCCACATGAGGCGACAGCACAGTAGTAGGTCCCAGCATGAGAAGGATTCAGGCTCTCCATTGGCAGGTTGTATTCACAGGTTTGTGTTTGTGTGTTGGGTTTCCTCTCACACTGATCATTCCTGCCTCCACGGGTATAAATGAGTCCTGGAGAGTCCTCAGAGTGTTTGAACCAGTAAACACTGTGTTCTCCATCACAGCTGCCAGTGAGAACTGTACAGTTCAGAGTCACAAAGCCTCCTGACTGGACAGTCTCAGATGCTGACTGATGGACTAAAGCTGTCAGATCTGAACCCTTAACATTGACTAGAGTGCTCTGGGAAATTTCTAACGTGTATAGATAGCAATTTATGCAGAAATAAGTACCGGAGTCTGATACGCGCAAGTCTGTGATGGTCAAGTGGTTTTTACCTTTCCCTTTTTCAGCATTCAGTGTGAAGCGTGAATTGTTCTTAAATTCACCATAGAAATCTATGTTTTTGTTATACATATAGAATGTAGAGATGAGATTTGGTTTCTGCCCAACAGTTTGCTTATACCAGTAAAGCCTTGCAGCAACAATGCCTTCATAGAAACATGGCAAAGTCAAGTTCTCCCCTGTTTTAGCTGATACAAAACCTCTGTCTTCACGGACAGATGTGGACAATGTCCCTTTAGTCGTCTCGGCTGAAATGAAACGAGACAAATGTAGTAATTTAATGTGAGAATCTTTAGCATAATCACTTCACTTTCTAAAATTATGAATATTTGTAAGAGAGCACGTTTCAGTAGAAATAAATACAACTTACCCATTATCCCCAAGCACAGACGGGTGCAAAAGAGAGCAAACAATGGAAATGCCACCATGTTCAATTTCATGTGTGAAATGAAAAGAAGGTCGATCATGCCTCTCCTCTTAAAAGACGAAGCTAGGTTTGATTGGCCAATCTGAAGTGACTGTGTACCGTATGTCCTACTTAGGAAATGTGTTCACCGCTACATAAACTGTAGTAAAAAATATGTATTTTTAAAACATTGACATGGTGGGAGAATTTCTTGGCATTGGATGTAATGATTTTCATTTGAAATATAATTATGTATAATGATTTTTCGATCAAGGACCTTTGCTAGAGTGGTTTTAGGCTTAAGATGTACCGAGTGCAGACAATGTTACATCCTGCTGAAAACCACAAAATGTAAAAAAAAAACACTGAAAGAGATACAATGCAAAAAGTATGGGCAGGAACAGGTCTAAGAGGAATAGACACTTAATTTCTATCAAATGATGTTAATTGTGTAGGACTTCAAACAAATCTTCAAAGCACCAACTGAGTTAACTATATTTACATTGGATTTATGTAGTGCCAATGTGCGTATACCGTTACTTTAAGACAGTTTTATTGATTAAAGGAAAGCTAAACTATTGTGTGATCTGGTGTAGATTATCTTCATAATTCAGTATAGATGGTAAATTGCATAATTTAATATATCTTTTTGTTTTATATCAAGCGAATCAAACTTGCTTTCAGTATGAGAACTGCAATGATCCTTGTTTTTCGTTTTTTCCCGTTTTTTCCTATTTTATTTTGAAAAAAATAAATTCCTGGTTTGACTTCCTGTCTTGTGTTTTTCCGTAGGTGTTCCTGTGCTGCCTTTGCCCATCTTCGCACCTGCTCTGAATCAGCCTTATTAGTCTTTCCAGCCAATCAGCTTCTTCTCTGTTTCCAAAGCTGTTTTGATTGGCCTTATTAGTTTCACCTGTCCCATATTAACCCTGCAGAAACCTGACTTTCTGTCCACCTGCACTTCACCCCCTCATCTGATTAGTTTATATTTAAGTTCTTCTTTTCTGTTCAGACTGTTTTGTCGATCAATCTCATATATAACTGAACTCCTTTTGTAGTTTTAATTTCATACTATAGCTTTTAGATTTTCATTGGGTATGGTTCTGAGAATGAACGTCAAAGTTCCGCCCGCATTCTTTTGAAAAATACACAATTAGTTTTTTGGGGTTTAGAAAAATCTAAAAATTGTTTTGAAGATTGGTTAAAACTGAGATATGGCCTTTGAGGAAGTGAACACACATGCTCATTATATATTTGTCTCAAGATCAAACAGTCCATTTAATAAATTAGCCCCTTGTGATCATGACATAACATGACATACAAAGGACATAAGAATGCACACAATTATTGCGTTGTCCAAAATATGTATGAATGAAACTAAGGTATGATTAGTATAAACAATCATATGTTCAGCATATGGCAACGTTTTTAAGGGGTTAAGGAAATCTTGTTTGTATCATAAAAAACCGTCCAATATTAACTACATCGCCAAGCTGTGAAAAGCGGTCTTGTCAATCCGGCATACTACAGTACATGAGGGGCATCAGGACTTTTGGCATGGGGGATAATTCATGAGGTGTAAATACGTTCTTGGCTGCATCTTTTACACTGCAAACCAATAGGATGTACACATGTATCTCTTAATTACTTATACATTACTGTATTACTTTTAAAACATGACTAAATCCAATGTTGTTTAACATAAGTAATGAAACATGGTTTGTCTACAGCTTGACACCAGAGTACACACATTCATCATTGGGGATGTTCCTCTGTCGTCTTGATCTGTTGGGCACATGGACACTTACAGCAGCATAATGGAGGCTGTCTGCGTTCCGGGGACCCTGTCAACAAAATATGAAGAAATGGATCAGGATATTGAATAGAAGAAAATTCTGCAATAACATTTTTAATTTATGAGATCATTTTCACCTCTGTATTTGCTGTAGATAATCTTGCTTCAGACTCTGATTGGTAACATGGAGAAACATTATTCAGTCAAGAGTTGTATTGAGTGAATGCAAGCTTCTGGAAGAAAAAAACAATAGGTAGAAGTTACCTGTTGATTGACAGTTGTTTCTCTTCTTCATCGTGTACACTAAGAAAGCCAGTAAAACTACCAGAATGGAGTTGAACGCCAAAGCTCCACTCAAGAAATACACAAGAGAGTCAACCTCATCTGTAGAGAGTAAACACCAACAACGGAACGGTCAGCTTTTATCTTGTTGTTCATTTTAAATCTTACTTGGCCATAATTTACTCTTCATTAAATAATCTAATAAATAGTTTACCTTCAAAGTCGAGCTTGGTCCCATTTCCAAACAGTATGTGTCCACATGAGGCAACAGCACAGTAGTAAGTCCCAGCATGAGAAAGATTCAGGTTCTCCATTGGCAGGTTGTATTCACAGGTGTGTGTCTGTGTGTTGGGTTTCCTCTCACACTGATCATTCCTGCCTCCATGGGTGTAAAGGAGTCCTGGAGAGTCCTCAGAGTGTTTGAACCAGTAAAGACTGTGTTCTCCATCACAGCTGCCAGTGTGTACTGTACAGTTCAGAGTCACAGAGTCTCCTGACTGGATGATCTCAGATGCTGACTGATGGACCGAAGGTGGGATGTTCAAACCTGAACCCTTAACATCGATAAAAGAGCCTTCCGCAAAATCGAAGACAAATTTGGAGAAAATTGCGCAGTAGTAGGTAGCTGAGTCGGAAATGTGCACATTTGAAATTGTCAACTGATTTGTACTATTTCCTCTATCAAGTGTAAAGCGTGACTTGTTGTTGAATTCATCATAAAAAGTGGGTCTTGCATCATAAGGATAGACGGAAGAGATGAGCCTCAGTTTCTGTCCCAGAGTTTGTTTGTACCAGTAAATCCAACTTGTATCACCAGCTTTATAGAAGCATCGCAAAGTCACATTTTCTCCAACCTTAGCTGATATAAAACGTTTCTCTTGACGAACACTTGAAGATATTTTCCGATCAGTCGTCTGAGCTGAAATAAGAGTCAAAGGAAATATACAATTAATTATATTCAGCAAGTACAGAAGTTTGAATAAAAAAATATTGAAAGCATTTCCATGAAAGTAGCAGAAAAGTAAAAGCAGGATACAAATACAACTCACCGATTGTTCCTAAGAGCAAACACATCAGATATAAGACCAACTTTGGAGACGTCATCTTGTTGAATTCTTGAGTTGAGTGAAAATGATCTTGAAACCTTGTTCACTCTTAAGACACAAGACTGCGTTTGATTGGCCAGCCTGAAGTGACATTGTACATCCTACTTTAAAAAAACTTGATCACATGTTCACTGCCATCTATAGTATCAAGTTTGGTTCTTGAGAGGATTCACTTCGTGAAAGGTACATGAAGAACACAATAGCTCTTTATCTTAGTATCATATTTAAAATCAGGGAGAATAAACTGCGTGTACACATAGTTTTCACCATAGTAGTGCTGTGAATATAATATGAAAGGGTAACAAGTTAGTTGCAGATGTGCTTTAGGCTTCGGCTTGGCTAAATTAATACAACAGGTTTGGTGTTACTTTAAATTGAATGGTATTTACTTGGATTGAGACACAGAAATTCATGTTGCCCCAATATATGTTTATGTGAGAAATGTAATGCATATTGGACAAAAGTGTCAAGTTACCAAATTATTCACATATACTGTTCCTGTGTTTACATGGGTCAGACGTACAGTATGTGGAAAGTATACATTGACAATAAAGCAATTGTATAATATAATCTAATGTATATCTATTAGGGATTATTGAAGTTGTTCGAAAAGAAACTCTTCTGCCATGGGCTTATTTATGTAGGAGGTCTTATTAATAATTGAGACATCAAACATTTTTTTATTGTAGCCATGCCTTTTATATGAAACTAATTGCTTCAAATACTTGTTAATACCTATAATCAGCAATATTCCAAACAAAATAGAATTAATTACACAATTATTTGTAGTTTTAATGTGAACTGATAAACATTCTTCCTATTAATGTAATTGCACTGCAAGTGATCTTTTAAGGAGCATCTATGTAAGTTTGCAAACAGAGTTACATCCTCCTAAAACCACAAAGGCTGCTACACTAAGGTACTTCACAAAAAGGTCTAAAGGCCCTGACACACCAAGCAGTCACCAGAGGACTCGCCGACGCCGGCTGAGGGCCTAAGATATTCTAAAAAATAATATTTGAAAACATTAAAAAAAAACATTTTAACCCTCCGGTATCACTGTGGACGTTTTTGTCCATATGGGTCATTTTTCACTTTTCATTTTGCAATAACTTTGGTTTCATTGGTGCAAATGGCCTGATTTTTTGTAACAACGCTATTTTCTCGATCTATTTTGGAATTCCAATTTCAATTTTTCAAATTGGTCTTTAATTCACTGTGTCGACTACGCAAATTAGTCATTCGAGACAAAAATGTCCACTGCAAAAGACTTTGATAAAAACATTATATTAAAAGGTTTTTTTCACAACATCTTTGGGTTCAATCTTTAAAGCAACTTCCGCCCTAATAGAAAATACCAAATATGTAATCATTTTCAGGATTGTAACCCTTTAAATGCCATTTTGAATACATGAAACCGCTGTTTTTTGATGAAAACAGAGAAAATTAGTTATTTTCCAAAAAATACATATCTGGGGACTGGCTCTTTTTTTTTTTTATAACAGTCTTGGATATGTCAAAGATTAGCAACAAAATTGATTTTTTTGCATTATTAGTTTTTGCACAAAATCAGATTGAACAAAAAAGTTACAAATTAGTCATTCGGGACAAAAATGTCCACTTCCAAACACTGCTCTAAAATGACAACAGATTAATATTTTTTAAAACTTTTTGGGGTTAAATCTTTCAATCAACTTCAGTCCTGATCAAAAATACTAACAGTTAAATTATGCTCAGGATTTTAACCCTTGAACTGCCAGTTTGAAAACATGAATTTGCGTTTTCTATGAAAAACATGCACAAAAAGGCAGTTATTTTCCATATAATAAATGTTGGGGGGGTCGG